TTTTTTGGCTTTTTTTTTCTGGTACCGGGAATCGAACTCACAACCTTGCGCTTGCCAGGCAGGCACTGTGATGCTGAGCTAAATCCCCAGCCCCCATCTTCTGGTTCTGACACAGGTTCATCTTCTGTTCTCACATAGGTCACCTCTGCTGCTCATGCAGTAAGTCTCCAACTCACCAACATTTGAGTTGGGAATTTTCACATGTGTACCATATAATATTCAGAGGTGGGGCTGGGGATTTAGCTCAGTGGCAAAGCGCCTGCCTGGCAAGCGCAAGGTCGTGAGTTCGGTTCCCGGTACCGGAGAAAAAACCAAAACCAAAAACAAAAACAAAAACAAAAAAATATTCACAGGTGTACTGTAGAAGACTCACTTTGTCCAATTATGAATGAATCTGACTTACGAACATTCCTAGCATGGAACTAGCTCATAAATCAGGAACTTACTGTACTTTTAATAGAATTTTAAATCTCCTGGATTTCTCCTTGGAACATTTTCATAGGCTATATTTTGTGACTTTTTTTTTTTTTTTTTAGCTCACTTAGCCTTTTATTAGTGTCTTCTGTAAACTCATTGATGCTTTTGTTTATCACATCCATTATCTGGGTAGTTATATCTCTTTGAACTTTGCAAGCACCTTATTAATCAGTTGTTTATCTCTTGTTATTCTTTTGAATAATTTGGCTGTTTGGCCTTTGATTTCCACTCTCTCGAAGCCCCATGGATCAGCTCTGGGAGTACTGGAAGTTTTGGGAGGCATTTTGTTGCCTTGTCTTCTCATGTCTCTCTTGTTTGTGTTTTGTTTTGTGTTGAGGTTTGTGAGCACTTGTAGTAGGAAGGCTTTGTTGCTAGTATGGAGCTCTGTTTAGTTAGCATCCATCTCTGAAAGCACACTCCTCACGGAGTTGGGGACCTGTATTCTTCCCAGCCTGAGCTTAAGCTTCTTAGGCAGTCTGGGTCTAGTCGGCACCCTCTTGGTGACTGTCTCCCATGCCGTCTCTCACCCAGTCACTGGGGAGGTGGGCGTGGTACACGGGAAACCCTGAAGCAAAACTGGTATTTTAGTTGTGAGTCTTAGTCTCAGACAGTCAACCTCTCCCTGAAATGGTGCCCGACTGAACACTCTGGAATAGGGTAGTTGCTTGCTGTGTGGAAGGAGTCACTTCTGTGTAAAACCCCATGCTATTGGGGCAGTTTATAATAGCCACGGGCTTTTCTTGGTGCTATCACTGAAGGCCTGGTCTCTTCTTTCTCCCTGGAGCTCCCAACCCCAGGGCTTTACCTTATGTCTGCTGAAATAGGTTCACTTTCCCAGGTGGCAGGGTTAGCATTCCAGATTGCTTCATTCTTTTCTCTCCATTATGGTCCATTTTTTCAACTTCTTTATAGTTCTTTTTTTCCCTTCTCTTTCTCCTCTTCCTCTTCCTCATCCCTCTCCTCCTCCTCCTCTTTCTTCCTCAGATAGGATCTCATTGTGTTGTTTAGGCTGGCCTTGAACTTACTATGTAGCCCAGGCTGGTTTCAAGATCCTCCCGCCTTCTAATTGCTGGGGTTACAGGTATGCACATCTATACCCTGTTGTAGTTTCTAGTTTCCTGTCAGTTCTATCCCAGTTCCCAGTGATCTACTTCTTTATCTATTTCTTTTTCTTTTCTTTTTTAATTCTCACCAAGTTGTTATTTTTTAGGTGTCTGTATTTCAGGTCTTGGGGAGGTTGGGTTTTATTGCTAATTGCTACTCCTCCGTTTTTGTTCTTCCTATTGTTGCACCATTTTTAAAAAATGGAGACAGGGTCTCAGTATGTAATTCATGCTAACCGTGAACTCACTACGTAGCCCAAACTGGCCTCAGCCTTGCAGTAATCCTCTCGCTTCAACCTCCCAAGTGCTGGAATTACAGATATGCACCATCACACCTGGCTATTGTTACTTTAAACATGAAAAGAAAGTAGAGGGTGCAAACTGGTCAGAAAATTTATTGTCACTGTCACCATTTTGGAAGAACATATAAGATTCTTAAAAACTTTTACGTACCTATTTCCATTAGCATCAGAATCTATACGTTAACAATGATGGCTTTCATGTCATTTCTGGAGGCAAGAGCATTTAGTAATGTTCTGACTTGACCTTAGGGAATTATGTGTGACTGTATACACACACACACACACACACGCACATGCACATGCATGCATACACGCATAAAATCCTGCATTTGCCTCAAAGCCAATTAATCAGCTGATTCTGAGAAATATTTTTTTAATCCACAACTAACTCTTGGCTGGTACTTTCACTACTCTAAGATGCTACATTTACAAGGTGAAAATGAAAAAGTTAGCTCCTTCCAAAGCCTTCTAGTGATGTTTCTTCTCTGTAGGAAAATCTACTCACAGGAGCCAGAAATCTGCTTGGTCACCAGATAGCGGCCCTTCGTCTGCGCCTCAGGCTGTCGTGTGGAACTTACAGTGCAGGATTTGTTGGCCCAGCTCAGCAAAAAGCCAGCCTGACTCAAAAAGAGAGAGTCAAGACCACCACACAGTGCCCTGGTTGCCCAGGCAACACAGTGCCTATGGGAGCTTCTCTTCCACCAGGTAAGCAGGCTGTCCTACTGCCACTCACCAGGTGGGCTTAGACCCTGAACAGAGACAGAAAAAATATTACCCTTGTCCTCTGGGTCCTTATAATTCTATACAGAGGAAGAAAAAGCATATGAAAAATTCATGGAAGGATTAATAAAATTGTTTATATGATCACATAAATAATAACAGGTGAGCTGGGGGCATGATGGTGCACACTTGTAATTCTAGCGCTTAGAAGGCTGAAGCACAATAAAAACTAAAAAAAAAAAAAAAAAAGGAAAGCTGAGGCAAAAGAGCTGCCATGAGTTCAAGGCCAGCCTGGGCTATGTAGTGAGTTCCTATCTCAAAATAATAATAATAATAACAATAATAGCACAAAATGTATTTGATTTTCCTCCATGCAGAATGTGAAACATCAAGAGATACATGCTTTTACATGTAAATAGGACATGCTGTATATAATTATGGCTAAGTTTATATATTAACAAATTACAAAGCCCATTGTAACATCTGTAAACATATAAACAAAGTTTGTTGGGTATGGTGACACATGCCTGTAACCCTAGAACTCAGGAGGTTGAGGCAGGAGGATCTCTGTAAGTTTGCCAGCCTGAGCGACATAGTGAGTTCAAGACCAGCCTTGAGAGCCTGTCTCAAAAAACAAAACAAAACAAAGCAAAACAAAAAAGCAAGGTTTATGAGCGTACTTCCTTCTATTATTACAGGTCCTGGAATACTAATAAGGTACTCTGTGTACCTTATTAGAGTTTTCAGTGTAGAAGGGGAGCTGGAACACATCTGAGATATCACAAAGCAGGATTTGGTTATACAACATGAGAAAATGCAAAGGTGTATGGAATTCCAAAATACAGAGAGAGTTTACATCTGCTTGAGGGATAAGAGAAGTGTTTTGTTTGTGATGCTGGAGCTCAAACCCAGGCCCTGCATGTGCTAGATGAGCACCCTATCACCAAGCGACACCCCCAGGCCAGGAGTAAGAAAAGTCTTCACAAGGGAGCAGCACTTTAGGGATCTGAAGGAATAAGGAAGAGAGAATCCGCAGAAATCTGAATGGCTACTGGGAACTGATTTGGCTGAAGCCGAAGGGGCTAAGCTGGAAATGCAGGGGGAGTTCATGTTACGGAGCACCTTGCATACCAGACAAGGGTTTGTGCTCATTCTGAGGGGCACTTAATATTCCTCTCACCTTGCTCAGAAGGATTAATTGGTCACTTGGTGAGTGGATAATTTAGAGGACAGAAACTTTGGACTTGAAGAGATCAGGAGACTCTTCCCTTGTCGCAGTTGGGGGCGAAGGGAAATTGATAACAGGGGCGGGGGCAGTAGAGAACAAAAAGAAGAGTAAAATTATGTGAAAGTTCATTTGGCATCAAGAAATTATTTTAGGGGCTGAGGGTGTAGCTCGGTAGTACACTTGCCTGGCAGCAGGCAAGGCCCTGAGTCCTGTCTCCAGCGTAGCACCGAGGGAAAACAAAGCAGAATAAAAACAGATTATTCCATTAGTACATTAGTAGCCATTAGTACGTTAGTTCTGAAAATATCATTAAATATGTGCCAGATACAAGTCACTTCAATGAGGCTACTTAAGCATGTAGCGCACAGCTTACTGAAGCTGTCATATGTAAATTAGCCCCGAGAGAATGAACAGATTTTAATAACTGGGAATGTTTGTTAAAGATGTTAAGAGCACTGAGTTTGAATATGACAATAACCTATTGGGTTTTTAAAAGTGATACGGTACTGTGCCACTTTATTTCGGGACTATTCTGTGTGTGTGTGTGTGTGTGTGTGTGTGTGTGTGTGTGTGCCCATGTGTGCTGGGAATTTAAAATTTTATTTATTTACTTACCTCTGTGGTGCTGGAGATTGATGTGTGCTAAGCACTCGATCTACCACTGAGCTATTCCCCCAGCCCTCGGGAGATTTTTGATCAGGGAAGACTCTCTTGTTGCTCAGCCCTAAATTATTAAAATACATAATAATGTTTTTTTAGGAAAGAGCGGGTGAAATGTTTAACCCTCTCAGTGACAAGTGTATGTCAGAACTGGTCTTCAGAAAAATCCTTGGCTATTAACAGCAGGCACGCCTCACATGTCACCTGTGTTGGTGTTTCAGTGGACGTGAGGTCCCGTGCTTTGACCTCAGTGTGTCCCAACAATAAAGCATGGCCCCCATTCACAACTTGCTTATAGGTTGGGAGGCTGCACAGGTGTATCTTGTTTGTGGGTCACCTTTCTTCCTAATTTATAGAACAGTGCTGATGTCTAATTACGTTTTTTCCCACCTGGGATATGAAGAAGTGGGGTTCTTTTATTCTGTAGGAGGTATTTTGCATGTAGAAATTCTCATAGAGCAACATAAAACAATTTTGTCAAACACTTCATTTTTCTGTCCCTTAATTGTAGCTTACATAAGCCATGGTTTCAGAATGGAAAACTTAAAACTACGTAGTACCATATGCATTTAGTTTGCCTTATTCTGGGATGAAGAAAAGCTTATCAACTAGCTTAATGGCTAAGTGGCCTTGCCCTGCAAGGAAAGGTTTCCCAAGGATCCCCAGTACCCTCTCTAACTTTGATATAGAAGATTATCATGCAGTTAAATAATTTCATAGGTGGGCATGGTGTTACAAACCTGTAATATCAGTACTTTAGGAGGCTGAAGCAGGACAATCTCAAGTTTGAGCCCAGCCTGCAGGAGTTATTGAATTCTTTTGTCTCCTCAACTGTGAAATGAGGTACTGGAGAAATAATTATGTCTGTGATAGAGTTGTCTTGTTTTTTCTTTTGTTTTGTGGTGTTGGAGGTTGAACCCAGGCCCTTGTGCCTGCCACTGAGCTACATAGAGGTGCTGAAAGAATGAAATAATTTAAAACACAGAAAAATATTTAGAACCATGCCTGGTATGGAGTGAGGCCAGAATACATATTAGCTGTCAACATTATTTCAAGATAATATTAAGATTAATATTAACTAGGCTTATAATATCTGGTAATCTGAGTAACTACTTTGAAGATAACAATATGCAATATAATAACCATTGTTCATTTCCTATCATCTTATTTTGAAATTTTGTATCTTTTTTCATTATTCTCTTTAAAATAAAAAAATAA